CCTGATATCAACCACAGTTTAAAAATGTATTGCCATCATTTGTTCAAATTAAGCTGGAAAAAAAAATGTCAGTGAAATACAATAGTTTCTATGATCACCATGTGCCATTCTTAGCAGTTCAAAAATAAATTTATCTTCAAGGAATTAAGATTCTTCAGCTCTGCTGTGGCTTATAGTGCCCAGGTTTTCTGCAACAGATCCAAAGCAGTTCGTTGAGGGAATAACCATAGAACTGAACTGAAAAGTAATACAGAAGTCTTTGCCCAACAAGAGAACAATGGACATCCTTTAGCAGCCTCTGTGCACCTGAATATCTTACTGCCATTAATTATAAGCCCATTACAAATATCACTTTATAAATAAAGCAAATAAATAAGCACCTTTTCCTGTTTCTTCTCTTCCTTCCAAAACCATTGCAAATAACTTTGCTAGCTCAGATTTAAACATTAGCATGCCACAAAAATGGTGGATCTGTAGCTCACCAGATGCTGGTAATGATTAGATTTGATAGAAATTCTGTGAAAGTATGTAGACTTTATATCAACATTGACTGATTTATACTATCCTTAACTTACATTCATATAGATCCATTCTTTGTTGACTTATTATAATTTTATCCTTTGCTACATTTTATTATTTGTTTTAAGGGAGTCCAAGGTATGGGGTAATATGAATTCAGAACACCTTGATAATGGTGGAAAACATATATAACTTATGAGAAATACATAAATGAGAAATACATAAAATGGATTTGATGGATATGGAGAGCTGCACCTAAGAACTAGTTATGTAACTGTTTTGGACCAATTCTAAGATGGAGTCAATGTTTTCTCCTCTTTTTAGGAAAAGGGATTTTCATGGATACCAAATCATTTTATTCACAAATTACATTTCAGATGCATCACCTGAAATTTTTTTTTAAAAGGTGAGCAACAATCAGAAGACTTGACTTCAAAAGATGTTAACTTGAAGCCTGGAGATCATGATCAAGAATATATAAAGGACTCGACATGTTTCAGAAAAGATCTCCATTTGTTGCTTTGCTGAGATATATACCTGGTTTTCTCCTCTTTGTTCATCACTTTTTGCTTAATCATCTTCTAATTTGTCAGCCAATAAGTTGACATCTGCATCTTGGTAAATTATAGTTTGTATTTATCTTTTGAAACAAGGTTCATTTAAGAATTCACTAACTAATTTCCATACAACATTTACTATTATTTTGTTGAATGAAATTATATCCAAACTAATGTTAAGCAAAACATTTAACTGCAATTTTGCTTCTCTGTGGTTTTATTGCTATCATTTGCTAAAAGAGAAATTTAGCTGGGGTTTCCAGTTAGCCTAAAAAAGCAAAAAAAATGTGTTTTAGGAATTGGTAATAGGTTTCCTTGCCTGCAGCCTTAGCAACATACTGGCATTTATTCAGAACCTGATACAAGGTTGTACTTACAACACTGTAGACTCAAGTACTATCTGAGGCAAAGTCATTGTACCTTGTTGCATATGCTCTAGCATGAGAGTGAAGACTTCTATGGGATCAATAAACCAGGACACAAACAAATTGATGATTAATCTCTGGCAAGGATGCTGTTTAACTACAAGTTGTCTTTCTTAGGTCTGTCTGTGTTTGTGGATACATCACTTTGTGGATAATAACTTGATGTCCACCCTGCTAATCAGCATAGTCATAAGCAACATAAGAATACAAACCTTGGATACATTAAATGCACAATTATAAGGAGACTGGGTGTGAATGAGCAAGTGCATAAAATTGGGGTTTAAACATTGGATATAACAAAGTAGAATTTCCAGCATCCCTTACTACTAATCATTCTGGTTAGACTAGTAATAGCTACAGTTCAACTGTATCCAGAAAGCCACATGTGTCATTCTCTACCTTATTTTTTTGTGTTTAATTTCAGGTGATGCATCTGAAATGTAATTTATGAATAAAATGATCTAATATCTGTGAATATCCCCTTTCCTAAAAAGGGGAGAGAACACTGAATGAGCATTCACTGTGTGTCACTATCTAAACAGAATATATATAATTCCCACACCTAGAAATTGAAAGTAGTGTACTAATGTATTAAGATTAAAAAAACAAGGCTGAAAGCAAACACTCTGAGTGTTTTGTAGTCATAGTATTATGATGCAAGAAACAAAGAATCTAACATGAATAATTATAAGAAAAACGTATTCCTTAAATATTCCAGTGCATCTTTGGGTAGTAAAATATCCTCAAAATGTAGCTACACTTGCAGCTAACAATGTAAAGATAATTCTGTTTACTTAAATCACAAGCCAATCTTATTTCATGGGGCAGATATAGGATTTTTCCCCAACTAACTATTATAGTAAAAGAAGCCCAACTGACAATTAGGACTCAAGTTTGATAGGAATCAAACCTCCTTTTCTTAATCTGTTTTCCATGAACAGCTTTTATTTCAAGACACTGATTGGGTGGTACAAAATGTCCAAGTAAAGAGTAAATTTGGCTCAGTTTTTATCCTAGGAAAAATGGTGAGAGAGAAAAAATACTATCAATGAGTGGGCAGTCTTTCAGAACCTTGCTACGTACTATGTACAATCAACTATATATTGTTGGAACACAATTAAATATGTTGTGCAGATTACATCTGCACATCTTGGTTGTAATTGTAAAGAGAGAGATTTTACAATCCTTGAATGTTGTGTTTTATTCTTTAAAAATATTATTTGGTTCCCTAAACTATTTCATTGCTTCTAAAACTGCTGCAATAATTTTTATCCTTTGCTGAAATATCAGTTTATATGTGTTATATATTCACTGAGTATAATGAATCACTACCAATTTATTTAATTGTTTTTTCCTTGGCCTGCTGTCAGCACAGGTAGGATTTCATATGATTTGGTGACTCATTGAATAAAACAAACTTCTATATTGAAGTTATTTTAAGTGACTTACCCCCAGGAATGCATCCACCACAAACACTGCCAAAGGGTCTAATACTGTCCAGAATCCCCAAGCCATGATCAGCTTTGACAAGTAAAAAGGGAAGAAGTCAAACAACAGTTGACAGCCCCATCTCATCAGAATCAAAAGAAGCATCACTGTGTTCAAGGTCAAAGGTCCCACCACAACCATAGCCATCTCTTCACTGGCATGTACCAAAGAATTCTGGTAGCACAAATCCACAGTATAAAGGTAGAATTGGAATCTGAATAAAAGAGATAGGGCAAAAATTCAAGAAGCAAAATGATGATCCTTGTTACAGGCATACTAAACCAGTTTCTTCAGTGATTTATTTTATGCATTAAACATACAAAGATTTTTCCACTAGATTTTCTACTGTACTAGAAATCAATGGTGATAATGATGATGATTTGTATTTGCATGTGCATAATTATGCGTAAGGGACGCAGTGGCTCAGTGGCTAAGACTCTGAGCTTGTCAATCAGAAAGGTCAGCAGTGCGTCGATTTGAATCTCTAGCACCGCGTAAGGGAGCGAGCTCCTGTTATTTGTCCCAGCTTCTGCCAGCCTAGCAGTTCGAAAGCATGCAAGTAGAAAAATAGGGACCCCTTTGGTGGGAAGGTAACAGCGTTCTGTGCGCCTTCGGTGTTTAGTCATGCCGGCCACATGACCACGGAGATGTCTTCAGACAGTGCTGGCTCTTCATCTTTGTAACGGAGATGAGCACTGCCTCCTAGAGCCAGAAACGACTAGCACGTATCTGCGAGGGGAACGTTTACCTTTAATTATGTATAAATGGGGAATGTAAAGTTCAAAATACAAAACATAGAAAATGGTGTAATACAATAAAAGTCACACCCACCAACCATCAGAAATAAAGATGAGGTATTATGAAAAGAAGTGGCTTTTTAAAAAAACCTTTCGTGCTAATAAATCCCTTCATTCATGGAAGCTTTGGCCCTCTAAAAAGACAGAACCAATAACATTCCAAATGAAATGCTTTCTGAAAGACAGAACAGTTTCAGAAGTTTATAGTTTTAAAGTTATTCAAATCATTTCCAATCTCCTCTTCTGTAGAAGAATAGATATGAAGTGAGATTCCCATCAATGTGCATGTTGTTTACTAATTTACATTTGCAATCACAAAGCACATCAAATCTGTGTCCTCCAGAAGTTCCCATCTTGTCTCAACACTGACTATACCAGTTAGTGATATGGAAGCCAACATGGATTAAGTGAATCACTTGACCTATACTCTTAAATTGATTCAAATTATATGTAAATTTTCTTCTTAGACTTCATACAGTTTACAGCTTCAGAACCATGATCCATGCTGTAATGCCCCCATCGGGGCCTGAATCTGAAGGGGAAGACAAGCTAGAACTGGAGCCGACAGAGATCGAGGGGGCAGCTTTGTTGGCTTCGAGGGAAAATGGGGACGAGCAGGGCCAATCAGGCCAGGGCCTTTCAGGATTGGGAAGGCTTGTAGGCAAGGAGGAATGGGGGCAGGATGACCAAGAGAGGCTCAGCAGTGAACATGAGAGACAGAGCTCGGGCGATGAGCACCGCTTCCTGATCCTCAAGCATGGAGAGTGAAGGCGAGAATAGTGCAGACTGACCCAGCTACTTGGGAGGAGAGCACCCCACTCCTCTTCAGAAGGCACATCTGGGGACTGAGACTTAATGAGACCCTGTGGGGAGGGGCATTTGTCAGGAACAAATACTGAATTCATGAAGCGCCAACATATGAACTTTCCTGAATTCCTTGCATTCTTTCTGGATTTCTGGATTGCCTTGCTCCTTTGATTCCTTGACTTGCCCTGCTGGATTTCTTGCTTTGCAGCCATGGTGCTCACAGTGTTGGGCTGGACTACTTGCAGCCAGAGGCTGCTTGAGGTATGGGTGAGGGTGTGTCATCACTTTGCTCTGGGACTTGCCAGAAACGTGGGAGTGTTTGGGGAAATTTGGAGCAATAGAAGGGTAGTTTGAGCTGCCAGCTACCTGTGTTACCTCTGTGCCATGCCCCAGGTCATCACACATGCTTACTTTGTGACAGGAACTGCAAAAACGTGGAGTAAGATCCATTGACTAAAATAATGCAGATAAAGACGGATAAACCAAAGGAAAGAGATTAGCAGCACACTGGTCCAGAAATCCCAGGAATACCATTGTCCTCTTCCAAGTTCAAAAAAGGCATCATATGCTCCGAAGTAGAAATGCTTGGCGAGTCTTGAGGACATGTTTGCATCAACAGCAGGGTGACAGCTGTAACAAGAGAAATGATACAATGAAAGATGATGCGATGTGCATAATTTAGAATGGATTACTGCATGGTCTCATTCTAAAAGTTTAAAAATGTGCAGTGTAAATAAATAAAATAAAGATGAAAATACATATTAATTGTTGTCTGCATACACATTTTAGATGGCTATCACTAAAGAATAGTTAGCTCAGTCTCACCATAAAGATGAACCTGCTTATTAATTGCTTTCTGGATGCAAATTTTAATTTGCTGTCACCAAAGAGTAGTTTGAGGTGTCAGTTCAGTTTAATTACATTTTAATTGGGGTATAATGGAGAGTAAGCAGTACCCAAGTTTATCAAAAGAAGAATGTGGAGCTCCACCCAATCTTGAAGTGTAAAGATCTTTGTCTAAGTGACACTCCTGAAAGCTGAATCAGTCCACAGATCATCTCAGCCTAAAAATTACATCTCAAATTCGGTGAGCAATATGGGAAGAAGAAAAGCAAACCAGCAAATGAGAATTAATTAATTACTATAGAGGTATGTGGGAATGACCTTGGCAGACTGAAGGAAGAGCTGAAGACTAGACACAGTGACAAGCAGCAGCTGAGCCCACAGAAAGCTTGGGAAGTGTGGCAAATGTTTCAGAATAGACCTCCCCTAGTTTCTCCTAAGAGGGGAGAGCTGTAATGTACACTCAGTCTGTCAATATTAGGTTAATAGAAGAGTGCAATAAATTTAGAAATAGTATTTCTGGTGTGCCTTTTATCTCAACTACCTCACAAGGCTGACAATTATATAGACACCAATGAATCAAGCTTAGCTTCCAGGGATTACATGAACAAATATTTGACATCTCAACCAGGGGTGGGTTTCAAATTTTTTAACAACCGGTTCTGTGGGCGTGGCTTAGTTGATGGGGGTGATTTGGTTTGTCATGTGACTGGGTGGACATGGCTTGGTGGTCATGTTATTGGCTGGGTGTGGTCAACACAATATCACTCACATCGAGGCACACATCTTCTTGCCTGGCCTCTCATGACTGTGGGGATGCTGCAACAGTCGTAAGTGTGAAAAACAGTCACTTTTTTCAGTGCCATTGTAACTTTGAATGGTCACTTCACACAAGCATAGTACCAGTAAAGGAAGGAAAAAAAACTCCAGAGAAGTTCCAGAGACAGGAAGTCTAGTCCTGCCAAGAATATAAAAAGGGTTAATAGAGAGTTAGTTTCTGTAAGCAACACTAAATGTTTCCTTCCTGCCTTCCTTGCAGGATTAGGCCAGTAATTTCTTCTAACAACTGGTTCTCCAAACTGCTTAGAATGTTAACAACCGGTTCTAGCAATTAGGTATGAACCTGTAGAACCCCTGATCTCAACCAATTTACAGTAACAACTTGTAGCTTTTCTATGGACATGCCATTAATCTGTTTGATCTTGTCCCCCTTATTTATCAAGTATCTTCCTATTTTTTTTAATTCCTCAATTAAATTTAAATTTCCTTCTTCTATTATTTGGATCTCACCAGTATCTGTCCATGTTAGCTATCTGGTTTCAAATCTATGTATCTGTGTTTCCTGCTTATATATCCTCTTTCCCCTAGTATATGTGTGGATGTAGGTGTGGATATATTTAATAGTCCAAACATCCTATAAATAAACAAATATTTTAGAAATTTAAGCAGAATGATGATGATGATAGAATAGATAGATTATAGATGATAGATGAATTAATTAGGAAAATATTATTGTAGCAGTACTTGGATTTTTGTTTTATCATCAATGAATTAAAGGTTTAATAGTTCTGTGATGTTCATTGTCACATTTTAAATAGAAAAGAGCAGAAAGGGTCCCCGAAATTGGCTGTGGTGGAAAAAAGGGGAGAAAGGAATTTACTCTGTACAACCATTTATGGATGAATGTGGTGTGATCTGCCCTTTAGTTAATTGCAAAAGTTTTTTCCAAAGAAAGGGAAATGGCAGACATGCAGACACAAGCGTGGCATTCTGCCTGCAAGAAGCTGGAAGGTCCATTCTGATTTAAAGCTAAAAAGACAGCCACTTCTTTGACCTTTGGAAACTTCTAACTCTTGTGTACATCTTCACTGATTAAAACGACTAAGGCTGCTCAGACCATGAAGCAAAATAACAACATGCTCATATCGTGCTTTTTAAATTGATGGAAAATGATAACTATTCCCAGAACATTATGTCTTGCTAATGATGTAAAAGCAACTGTGTAAATCATCATTTCAAAGTTTTCAAAACTTCAAACTTTTCTACTTTGTAAGAACTGCTTATTTGCCACAATGTCTTTCCAATTTAGGTGGTCCTCAACTGACAACCATAACTGACCCTGGAATGTCGGTTGTAAGTCATTGTAATTGTTAAGCGATGAGCCTATTTGATTGTCTTGCTCAACAATCGCAATCCTGGTACTCCCATTTGTGTTCGTAAAGTGACCACACAGGTCATAGGATACCTAAGGGAGGTGAGAGAAGCCTGAAGAGGGCCTTGGACTACTACAGGGTCCACTAGCTCACACACATTTTCTACAGGTAAGGACACCTTGGGCTTCCTCCCTTCCCAACCAGATAACTCAGGTCTCAGGCCTCCTCTCCTCCCACCCGCTCCCTTGATCCAACAGGCCTTTGGTCAGCATCCTGGCCTGTTTGAATGTGCAGTTTTGAAAAGGATCCTTCCAAAAGATTGTGAGAATGGTAGCTGCTTGTAAAATGGCGGCTTTTATAGGAAGATCATGCATCCCCCACAGTTAGGTGCACCTGTCAACAGCTATGGAAAAACCAAAAGATAAATGAAACAACGTATTCCATGTATGAACATGACAAACTAATCAGCTGCCTTGGTGCATGCCACTGATAAAAAATATTGAGAAGCTTTCCCACAACTACTTATGACAATTTACTGTATTCTTGTAGGCCGCTCCATTTCCAAAGAATCCAAATAGCACATCAGGTGATATGTAAAAGATCATAATCAACTAAACTCCAGACTTGCTCTTCTCCAATGCAGGAAATCTCTGTGGTTCTTGCTACTAAACTCTAGAATTCCATCCTGAGGAACATCTACATGGTCTCCCATTTTGTCAGCTTTCTTTTTTTTCTTTTTATTTCCTGCCCTTTTTAAAAAAAAAAAATTATTTATTTTTATCCCACCTTTTATTATTTTGGGAGTAGTGCAATGGCTCAGCAATGAAGATGTTGGGCTTGTTGCAGGGGTGGGATTCAACCGGTGTTACTACCGGTTCGGTGAGAGTGCGTTTTGCTTTGCGTGTGCATGTACAGCATTTGCAAAAAACCATCAGCTGTGCCGCCTAGACAGCTGACAAGCGCTGTGCGTGGATGCGCAGCATTTGAAAATCCTTTTCTTTCCTGCTTTTTCAACCTCAGCTGTGCTGCGCAAAGCAGATGAGGTTGAAAAAGCAGGAAATAAAGGACAGCCAAGAGCTCGGGCGGGTTGGTGGGCCAAACAGACAACCAAAAGGCCGTTGCAGCAAACCGGTCCGGTGTCTGCTGCTCTTCAGAGCTACCGATTCTATAGAACTGGGCTGAACCAGTAGCATCCCACCCCTGGCTTGTTGGTTAGGAAGCCAACAGCCCAGGTTCCAGATCTGAGGGTCATGCAATAGTGTGAGCTCCCATCCTCACCCCAGGTCCTGCCAAACTAGCAGTTTGAAAGCATGCAAATGCAAGTAGATAAATAGGCACCACTTTGGTGGGAACGTAGCAGCACTCTGTGATATCATGCAGGCCACATGACCTCAGAAACATCTTCGGACAGCACAGGCTCAAAGGCTCTTGAAACAGAGATGAGCATCACCCTATATCAGGGGTGTCAAACTCATGGCCCGCAGTCCAGATACATCACATGCTGGCCCCGTCCCCGCCCAATTAGCAAAGGGGGGGGAGTCCTGGTATGTCATGTGATGCCGCAGGTTTAACACCCCTGCCCTTTATAGTCGGCAATGGCTAGCAGAATAAATAACTCAAGGCAGCAAGAATATCCAACCCACCATACTCCTCCTATTTTCCCCACAACAACCCTGTGAGATGGATTGGGCTGAGAAAGAATGACTGGCCCAATTGGCTTGCCTTTAAGGTAATATTTTTAAATTATTTATGAATTGCATATGATATAAAAAAAATGCAACCTTCCCGATGGTTGGATGCAAAGGAAATAAGGAGACATTGTAAAAAAAAATTGGACAAACTCTTAATTATTTCATCACGGCCTCTTTTTAATCTAGAAGTAATACAGACTATACAACAGCAATTTCATGTTCCCAAAATAGGCCATCCAGAGCCATTTTCATTATAATGCATTATTTTTTTTTAAAAAAAAGCTGTTCCAAGAACTTTAGTCGGCTCTAGTAAAACTATTAGATCGACAAGGAAATGGCAGAAAGATTGAAATATGAGAGATTTGCCTATCATAAACTCTCTTTCAAGTTCCTTGGAAAAGCAGGTATCTTTTTTAACCACAGAAACTCAGAGGATCTGACCCTATAAATGCTCTATGAATATGTTAATCAAGTTCAGGAGAAATGCAGAAGGGCACCCTACCCTAAGAAGGGAGGTGGTTTAAAATGAAAATGTACTTTCTGTAAAACTGATAACATGAGGTTCAGCACTGACTACATCCCAAAGATCTCTAGAGTGTATTTCCTCAATTTACGAGCCCATTTTCCTGTCCCTAAATGCCAGGCATGTAAACTCAGCATGGAATCTGAAACTCAAGCTGTGTTATTTCTAGCTCATATTTCATCAACTCTGTTAAAGATCCAGAAAGAGAAAGTATGCCCTCAGTTACACTACAGGGACCTGGCTGTTTTTAAAATGAAATTACACAGGTATAACTCTGAGCATCTAAAGTGGGGAGAGGCAAACCTGAACCATCCTGAGGCAAACCTGAACTCAAATTCTGAGAATTTGAGGCAAACCTTTTATGCTGAAAAAACTGAATATTTTTATTCCATGTTAAGCTCTTCAGTTAATGGGATGTAA